CTCACTCACTCACACACACACACACACACACACAAAACAACAGGAAATTCTGTACTCTCTGTAACCAATTATCTGTAACCAATCATCACATTTTAATACTTCATTCAGCTGTATTGTGGCGTTCGTTTTTTAGCTTTAGTTTTGCACTCAAAATATTCACTTTATTATAGTTTGTACTTGATGATAGTATGCACTGTGCATAACCACACTAAGAAATGTTTTGTTCTGCAGTTGTTCATCCTACCACACTGAGCATGAGGGACAGAACATGCACTTTAAACACTCTCAACCCCAAAGCTGTGGAGGAAACGCACGGCACATTTACACATCAAGCTGTATGGTGCTCATATGAATTCTGAATACTGTGGTTGGTTTTACTGTCTGAGCCTTGTGAAAGTTTTTGTACGGACTAATCTACAGTATTATTTATTCTTGCTCCAAAAGTTAAATGACTTTGGGACTGAGAAAACTTGAATTAGATTTAAGATTATGTATAGGTTTTACTGATTGTGAAATGTTGCTTTCAATTACTTGTGATTTGTTAAAAGAGGGTGGCAGGTATGTAACCATTTCCTCAAGCTGTTTTTATAGGGCCTTTTTTTTACAGTCTTAAAATTATTTATGAATTAATCAACCACTAACAAACATATGGAGATACCACAAGGTATACATATTATGGTGACGTGTGTATCTGAATTGTAATAAAATGTCTGGATTAAAATTGTGTCCTGTGACATCAGACTTCATCTTTGTTGTCATCTAATATTAATCTCTAAACAAAAAGTCATCACAGTGGAATATATACCATTGTTTTTGTACACAGCTGATCTGGCCAAGTGGGGCAGTCGTGGCCTAATGGTTAGAGTCGGACTTGTAACCCGAAGCTTGTGGGTCTGGCAGGAATTGTGGGGGGGTGGGGAAGTGAATAACCAGTGCTCTCTTCCACCTTCAATACCACGACTGAGGTGAGACCCTTGAGCAAGGCACCGAACCCCCAACTGCTCCCCAGCAATATGGCTGCCCACTGCTCCGGGAGTGTGTTCAAGGTGTGTGTGTGTGTTCACTACTGTGTGTGTGCACTTGGATGGGTTAAATGCAGAGCACAAATTCCGAGTATGGGTCACCATACTTGGCCACACGTCACTTCACTTTTATAAACTAGTCCAATCCAGTTAACGTGTACTGACAGCTGATGTGTGCTTTGCCATTCTTAAAGGGAGCAAAATGGATACAGCACAGGTTTGTATAAAAAAATGTAAAGTTTTTCTTTTTGGAATGCTACTCGTACCACAATATTTATGATTACGTTGTCATGGAAAACAAAGGAATTTTATGATTTCTAGGTCAGAAAAAGTTAATAGACTGAAAATTAATAATTTTCAGTCATGGAAAAAAAATCATGGATTACTTTTAATTATTCTGTTCTATCCTAAAATAAGATATCCTAAAATGTTCAGGTTAATCATGTATTCATGTAATATATATTCTTGGCTGTATCAAGTAATTCTATACTATCAAATCTGATTCTACACAAATTGTCAGTGGCTCTGATTCTCGTGAAAGGTGATAATCTCTTGAACTCATGTGGATTGTATTAAAAATAGTTTTTAGCCAAATGTTTTTTGAACGTTTGTTTTTATCAATGAAATTAAAAATCACACCAGTGTCAACTTCAGAATTAAATGTTAAATGTTGGGGTTTGGCATTTTGGTTTTAAGTCACAGAAATTCTTTGATCAGAAAGCGTGGCAACCCTGAATATAATAGAAGTTGGTTTTCTAAAATATAATTTCTGAAATATCACACTTATCTCTGTGAGAGCCCATTTCAAATGGTTGCATTCACTGGACAAAACATGTAACTGAAAAAACAGAATTTCTTTAAAGAAGTCCTTTTAATATGTTCTGTTTTCAATAAATTTCAGATCTGAAGGATGACGGAACACTATTGCTCGAAGAGAATTTCTAATAATTCCACAGTTTGTCTCAGACTATATAAAAATGCTGCATTAGCAAGTTAAAATGTAGACAAAAGCAAAAACTTCTGAAATATCACACTTATCTCTGTGAGAGCCCATTTCAAATGGTTGCATTCACTGGACAAAACATGTAACTGAAAAAACTGAATTTCTTTAAAGAAGTCCTTTTAATATGTTCTGTTTTCAATAAATTTCAGATTTGAAGGATGACGGAACACTATTGCTCGAAGACAATTTCTAATAATTCCACAGTTTGTCTCAGACTATATAAAAATGCTGCATTCGCAAGTTAAAATGTAGACAAAAGCAAAAACAGGACTGGTGTACACTGATTAAAAACAAATACTCCTTTCATGTCAATTTTTTCCACTTATGCATTCACTCATGTTACCCTTGTAGATGAACCGAAAGGCTTTTCATTTAATTTTTGCTTTTATAATGAGTATTAATGTTGGGTCTTGGTGTACAGGTATCAGCAGTCAAGCTTGGGTTTTTTGGCCTCTGGTTCGGACTCAGGCACAGGTACACTAACCCCAGGGATCTGAAAAAGACAAAAGTTTTTAAAAACCAAGGGGAGATATCACCACAAATAAACCATAAACTATGGGGACATAAGGGATAAATGACAATGTACACTCAGATAAAAATAAATAAATAAATTATTAAAATAAATGTATTTTAGTCCATTTATTTACTTATTTGCCAAGTTGTTGTGTAATAAATCCCTTAATTATCCTAAATGATGGTCAAGATGATATAAAACACCTTCACTCCGTGTCAGAGTCCTGATCGGCCTAAATAGGTTTATTTAGCGATAATGAGGTACTTATTAAACATAAATCATATAAACTAGTTCAAATTATTACTGTAAGAAGAAATTGGGAATTGATTCAAGAGGCATGAAACTTGCACAGTGTAGGAGACTGGTCAATCCTATAATTTAGAAGTTAGTTACTATACAAAAATAATTGCGGCTGTGATCGACCAGTCAGAATCATTTCAGAAACCCATGTAATTATGCAGTTGCAGTCTCGCAATAAAAAATAAAAAAATCTAGAAAACAAAAACATACCACCGGTTCAATGAGCGCCATTCTGATCCTTTGATGCTGTATGTTGGAAGCGTCCAGGCTGATTGTTACTTTAACTTCGTCAAACATGCGGAAAGTGTGTTCCTCCACTTTGAGTGTAGGACCCTGAGGAGAAAAAAAAAACCGGTTCAATCACGGAACATTCATACAGAATCATGCAACATCTCACGAATATGACCTGTAAGCCTAATACTGCCTGGCTGTGCAGACTGATATCAAAGTTAGTCCGTACCTCAGAGTCAAAGCTGAGATGAGGACTGGGTTTGTCCTTGTTGTCAAAGAACACAGCGCCCTCCAATCCAAATTTAGGGATGAGGATGATGATGGCATTTTTTCTTACAAAAAGAATGAAGCCTTCCTCGTTTATGATTCCCTTATTCTTGAAGAATAGCTGAAGGGTTAAAATGAAAGACACCATATATTAAAAAATTGCAACAATTATTCCATAAATCATAAAAGTCAGGCTTTTTTGGCGTTTGCACTACCTGAGTGTGGAACGCCACTGAGGCTCTCTGTGCATACTGGGCCATTTTGTGTCTGTAGTTGAGGTTGTTGCATAAGGCCGACTGCTTATGCTTGTCCATCAAATCTGGGTACGTACTGTCTGCGTTAATAGCCACTGCTAACAGACGGTGAACTATGATATCAGCATATCTACAAAGTCAAAAAAGCATAAATGTTTAGTTGGGGGGGGGAGTCAACATGTGAATGGGTGAAGAAATGTTGACGCACACAAAAAAAATCATCATGACGGTAATCCATAAGACCCCAACGGATGAATCAATGTCTTATATTTTAAACTTTTTAACTATAAACCATTGCTTCTGGCCAACTGTCATACACAGATATAAGAGATGGTCGAGTTCATGCTTGATTCAAACCGAAGTGCTTTGTGAAGCCTGACACAAATGTATTGTGAAGCTTACGCGAGAAGTGATGGTCCTCCAAAACGGAATGAAGGTATGGAAATTTGTTGATCAAAAACAGTGCAAACTCTGAATATCACGAAAGCCCATTTCAAATGATTATCTTTACTGGACAAAACAGTGACAAAACCGGAATTTCTTTTGAAAAAAATTTTTTTTTTAATTAATACTGATAAGTAAAAGTAATACTGATGTTCTATTTTCACTGAAAATGATTCTTATATTTAAAAATGACAGAACCCAATGGCTCAAATCGAAACTGATCATTTCAGTTTGTCAAATTGTACAAAACATTTGTATTTGCATTGGCTAGTAAAAAAACAAAAAAAACATTACTTTGTACATTGAATAAAAGGAAACTAAAAACCCTTTCATGTAAATATTTTTCTACACAACCTTTTTATGTTTTAAAGTCCCCCTGCAGTCACTAATTTTATCCCTTAAAACTCATCTTCGATAACCAAAATGATATATTTTGGCATTATATGAACTCATGAACTCTAAAAATCTTTCATCTGAAGAATGAATGGTATACGTCTGGGTTGGCATGAGGGGAAGCAAACCATGTGAAAATGTTCATTTTTAGGTCAACTGTTCCTTTAAATTGATTCAGTGGTCCAGTGCGTCTCACCTTCTGATGGGTGATGTGAAGTGTGTGTAAATGGGCGATGCCAGGCCATAGTGGTGGAAATCACTGTCCATGCCAGAGCAGAAATACACGGCCTGCATCATGCAGCGGGTGGCCAGAATCCTCAGCAGGGTGTTGAAGTACGGAAAGTTCTCAACTGTCGCATTGTTCAGGGAATCAGCCAGAGCTTTGGCTGAATCTGTGTGGATGTTGAGGTCCTGGAAAAAAAGAAAACGGCAAGGAAAAAAAAATCAAAGAAAGTCACCAGAATGCCTCAAACATTTAAATATGGGGGATGATTATATGTCTCTAGGTGGGTCGTAGCATGAACAAGTTTGGGATGCACTGACACAATAGAAAAGACACTCACTGGTCACCACCTACTGGTGTAAAAGCCTGATATACTCAAGGCGAAGGTCTTTTTTGTTTGTCTCTTAAATGTTTGAAACAGTTGTGCAACGGTATCGAACATTCTGACACTACCCATGATGTAGACAGTGGTGTTTAGATATGTATGTAAATATGGGCTATACTCTTTTTCTCAATAACACATCAAACACACACACAAAAAGAAATAACAGCAGTTCAGAAAGCATCTGCTAACAGGGATAAGCTCTGCAATTCAGCACTCCAGTGTTTTCATGTTTTTCACTCATGTCTATCCTCAACGGATAGAGTGATGTAGGATATCAGACAATCTAAGATTTGGTCAAAAACATGGTTGAAACATGAGGAGCCGAATTCCACAGAGGCCGAAGACAACAGGATGTTCATAAATCAGATCCTAGCACTAGCCAGTCTGAAGCAAGCCTAACCAACTCTTTCACAGAACAGCTTTCAACATTAACGATGTTGTGCGGCTCGTTCAATGAATCGCTGGCCGTCTCAGTGATCAGCCGTAAAACAGTGATTCTGTCCAAATTCCCTTTAAAATCTTAAATGATTCCCTTTGAGCTAAATTGACCTGTTTCCCTTACCTATAGTGAACAGAACAAGTGCACCTGAAAAGATTTCCACTTGTCAAAGAAGGTGGAGCCCCAGCCAGAACACACCCACCTATTTCACAATCGTCATGGACCAATAGCAGTTCGAAGGTGTTTAATATCCG